GTGTGTGTGTGTGTGTGTGTGTGTGTGTGTGTGTGTGTGTGTTAGATTTGCACCACAACTGCCCCTGTTCCACCCAGATGAGTAGATCCAAAATCAAAGCAATTTCACCTCTATTGCAGACAATGAAGCACACTTGAGATGAGCCAATCCAACAACTAAACAGTTTCATCTCTATAGTAAGCAACACGGAGTCTGTGCACCTGTGTGTGTCAATACCTATCTAATCTTCCAATCCATCTGAGCATCTAGCCCTATGTCCTGTCTAGCAGCACTAATGCATCTTCCTATCAAACTATGCACAATCTCTCTTCATATGAGGAGGTTTAAGAAGAGACAATAACAACAGTGTGATCAAATCCACAAGCAACTTCCTATCAAACTATGCACAATCTCTCTTCATACGAGGAGGTTTAAGAAGAGACAAGAACAACAGTGTGATCAAATCCACAAGCAACTCCCAACACCTGCCCATTGACTTTCTCCACCCAGACAGGTTCTGGCTCCTCGTTTGTGCTTCCAATGCCCAGACGACCTGTGGCCCCACTTCCCCATGACCAAAGCCGCCCATCGCGACCCACTGCCACCGAGTGAACTCTTCCACACCGAACCATCGTCACATCCTCAGTCCTCAAAGCCTCCACCTCCTGCGCACGCTCTCCATCACCCGCTGCTTCTTGTCCTTCCTTTCCTTCTGTTCCCATGGTTGCAGCCCGTGGCACACCCAATTGAGCTCCACCGTTCCATCCCCAGGCGAAAACATGACGAGAGTGGACACGAGCAGCACTTGCTTCCCGTTTTCCGCTCTGGCCACCATCTTCTCCTTCTCTTCCTCCTCCTCCTCCTCCTCCTCCTTCATGAGATCGCCCACTGCCACCAGCATCGATCTCTTTGGCAAGAGCCATTGAGTGGCCCAGGCCGGCTGCAATACCGAGTCCCACATACCCCTCAAGCCCCTCCACTGTGCCCATCTCTCCCACTCCCTCGCCACGACTCTTTGATGGGGTTAGCCGACGCCCTAGCTGTTTCAAGCTGTTGTCGCCAAAGGAGAGTACCTCCCCCTCCTTTGTCAAAGCCAGGGAATGATCCATACCACAAGCCACTGCTACCACATGCCGGCCTTCCAGGGCCTTCACACGCTCAGGTTTCCACACAAGTGGCATCCTCTCCTCCTTCTCCATCTCCTCCCTCACCTGTTTCTCCACTTGACGCATAACTTCTGCCTCTGTCACGACTTGGGCACTAATTCCATCCTCCCCTTCGACACTCTTCTCCGCCTTTTCGCCCACCACAGTCTTGGTTATCGAGGACGGCACTTTCTCGGTGCTCCCATGATCATCACCTTTCTCAGGAATGTGAAACCCGAGCCGCCCATCCGTCGCAACACCCCAAGCAAACACCTCTCCCTTGGCAGTACAGGCCAGTGCATGACCCCAGCCACAGGAGACCTGTGTAACATGGTGCCCTTCCAAAGCCTGGACACGAGTCGGGGTACCGACATGTACAACACCTTCACCGAGGCCAAGCTGGCCCCGTCGCGAGGAGCCCCAGGACCACAGTGAGCCATCGGATCCAATCGCCATCGAAACCACACCAGACCCAACAGCACCAACCACCTTAACATCTTCTAAACCCTTTACTCGGTGGGGCACACTCCAATCCCATGCCACCTCCTCGACCTGCTGACTCAATGTCTCCTCCGCCTTTCCCTCCACTTTTCCCTCCGCCTTCTCCTCCTGCCCCGAACTAGTCGCAGCAGCTGCACCAGCTGCTCCCGCTTCAGCAGGACCTGGACCTGTCAATGGAGCATCACCTGCTGTTCCACCCTTCTCTACCGCTGTGGTTTGCTGCGGTGGCGAAGTTCCGCCCTCGCTGGCTATCCCTAATTGCCCCTCCGCATTGCGGCCCCAGGCCCACAACTCCCCTTGGCCAGTGATGGCGAAGGAATGGTAGTGACCTGCACCGACACTGGCAATATTTAAGGGTAACCCTCTAACCTCCTCTGGTTCAAACGAGTTAAGAAGCTCCTCCTCTGCATGGCCCAATGCGCCTTGGGACCCATCGCCAAAGCTGAGGACCCGGCCATACTTCGCGCTAGCGTCACTAGCGTTTCTAGTCTCACTAGCATCACCACCAGCTTCGCTATGTATTTCCCGCGGACCGGTCAAGATAGGAGCAACGTGCGCATGCCAGCTGTAAGCACCATTAGCTATTCCACCTCTCGACAGCCAGGAGATCATTGACGACGATGACAACCAGACCTGCCGACATCCTGACCCTACGGGTCGGAAGTTACTGCCAAGCCTTCCTCCTCCCAAGCTTCTGCTTCTCCCATGCCAGTCCTTAACATTCCCATCATATCCTCCTCCTCCTCCTCCTCTTCCTCCCCCTCCTCCTCCTCCAACCACAACTCTTGACAACAGCTGACATTCTGGTGTAAGATACATGGAACTATGACAAATCCTTGCACAGCTTCCAGTCTTTCCATTCCATGCACAAGGCCCGCTGCTGCCTCCTCCTCCTCCACCTCCTCCTCCTCCTCCTCTTCCCCCTCCTACTCTCTCTTCTCCTCTGCCAACCGCTGTCGATGCCCGTTCGAGAAGACTAGGAACACACACACCCTCTTTGTCAAGCCTGCACCCCCTTACTCTTGTTTGTGCACATGATTCCCCCCCACCTCCTGTAGCTCTTTGAACATACTCAAGGCACACGCTGCCGCGTGTGCGTGTCTCTCCAACAGCACAGTACCTCCTTACTCCAGCAACACAGTGCACACCCTTCCATCCAATCGCTCTCCTCCTCAGCTGGTCGGCCGCACACCTCAGTGCCATGTTCCTCCGACTTAATTCCTGAGTGCACCAGATGGTCCACAATAAGTTCCACCGCCAAATGGACCTTCTCTGGGCCTCCTGTGGGCCTTCTGCGGGCCTCGTCTGCACCAAGAATCAGCAAGATAAGGTTTGTGGCCTTCCATCCAACAGCCGCCGGTCATCCGTCAACAAGATGTAGAATGGATGTACTGCAGCAGCCCCCTCCCATGTCCACCGTCTCACTCACCACCCCATTCCGCCTGCTGCACAGCACATCATTCACAAGCATCAATCAGCATCCAATGGAAACCACTTGGGGCGTGGACATCCCCACAAACCTCTTCCTTTTCTCCTTTCCTTTCAAACGCCCCTACAAAAGTCAGGCGCCCATATTCAACAAACATCACATCAACCCCCTGATTATCCAACTACGCCATTTGGACATCGATCACTTTCGTTAGGTCTCAAAAGAGGAGGAGAAAGAGAGGGAGCACCGCAGACCAAGGAGGTGGAAGAAGATCAGCCACAGGAGGAGGAGGAGGAGGAGGAGGAGGAGGAGAAGAAGAAGAGTATATCCTTCATCCATAACACTCTAATTCTCGAACTCACATTCAGCAGGTTTCAAAAGAGGAGGAGGAGGAGGAGGAAAAGAGCAGGAGAAAAGAGGGGGAGAAAAGAGGGGGAGAAAGAGGAGGTGAAAGAGGAGGCGAAAGAGGAGGAGAAGAGGAGGAGAAGAGGAGGAGAGAGAGGGACTACCGCAGACCAAGGAGGAGGAAGAAGATCAGCCACAGGAAGATGAGGAGGAGAAGAAGGAGGAGGAGGAGGAGAAGATGGAGGACAGGAAGAGGAAGAGGAGAAGGAGGAGAAGGAGGAGAAGGGGGAGGAGAAGGAGGAGGATTAGGAGGCGGAGAAGAAGAAGAAGAAGAAGAAGAAGAAGAAGAAGAAGAAGAAGATACTATCCATAACCCTCTCTCACACGTCTCCTATTCCTTTTCTTATCGCCTTTACCAAAAACATTTTCAAATCCCAATGTTTTTTTTTTTTTTTTTTTTTTTTTTCCTGGGCGCCTTCTTATCCACTCCCAATCATCCACCCTCGCACATTGACTTCTTTTTTTTTTCTCTCCTGCCGTCATTGCGTACATCCTCCTCAACTCTTTCATCTTTACCTAGAGAATCTCCTCTCGCCAAGTCTTTTTCTTTTTTGTTGACGTCCATATTCATATCCTCTCTTTCCCTTGTAATCCTCTTTCCAATCGTGAGATATCTCATTATCACATCCTCATGCCATTTTTATGCCCAATTCAGTTGAATTCACTCACTTATGTTTTCTTACCCTCTTCATTTCCTCGAGCCTCCTCCATGCAAGCTTTCCTTATGTCTTTCCACTTCACATGTGTGTCCACACAAATATCCAAATCCCGTCCCTCCTCAGTGAACATTTTTGCCCTCCCATCCATCCATCCATCAATCAATCAGTCAAGATCGTCCATCCATCCATCAAGCTCGTCCGTCCATCCATCCATCAAGCTCGTCCGTCCATCCATCCACCAAGCTCGTCCGTCCATCCATCCATACAACAATCAATCTGGTCCGCCCATCCATCCATCAATAAATCAATCAATCAAACCTCGTCCATCCATCCATACATCAATCACTCAATCTCGTCCATCCATCCAGCCCTCAATCTCGTCCATCCATCCATCAATCAACCTAGTCCATCCATCCATCCATCCATCCATCCATCCATCTATCCATCCATCCATGTCGTCCATCCATCCATCCATCACTCAATCTCATCGGTCCCGATGCATCAATATCGTCCATCCATCTATCCATCAATCAATCTCATCGGTCCCGATGCATAAATATCGTCCATCCATCCATCTCGTCCATCTATTCCATATCAATGTATGGACGTGATGGATATATGAATGGATGAATGAATGGGTCGATGGACTGATGGGACTACATCATTTAACCTCTTCTCCTCCAATCCCACCCATCAATCTCGTCCATCCATTCGTTCCTATCCACATGTCATCGAATGGATGGATTCATGCATGGGTGGTAGTTTATCAGGGTCAACCTCTTGTCCTCCCATCCATCCATCCATTCATATCCATATGAATGAATGAATGAATGAATGGCCAAGATAAATGGATGAATAGATGGATGGATGAATAGATGGATGGATGGACGGATGATGGATGATGGATGATGGATGGATGATGGATGATGGATGATGGATGAATCGATGGACGGATGGGTGATGAATGGATGAAAGGATGGGTGGATGGATGGGTGGATGGGAGTACATCCCTCGTCCTTTCATCCTCCCATTCATCGAATGGATGGATGGATGGATGGATGCAGGGATTGTTTTGTTTGCTTTTTTTTGTAATAAATAGGGAGATTGTCACTGCATACTCGCACTAGCACTTGCCTAATGTATCTGACTGCAATTACGGCCAGACCTCGATGAATCTGACCGCCATCTAGCTCAGAGCTTGGTCGGATGAAAGGACGGATGCATGATGGATGGATGGATCGATGGACGGATGGATGGACGGATGGATGGATGGATGGATGAGGGAACTATGTTGTCTTCTTTTTTTTCTTTTTCTTCACAATGAGGAGATAATCAGAACCATAGAGAATGTGGGGAAAAAAGAAAAAAAAAGAAAGCATTTAGACTTATTCACAAGGTGTCCTTCAGGGTATCCGTTAAAAGGACTGGAACGATACAGAGAACCTAGAAAAGATTAGCATGGCCCCTGCGCAAGGAAAGGATGACACGCATAACTGAAAAATGGTCCAAACTGTTAAAAATAAAAATAAAAAAAAATGACCGTGGCTAGTGGTGAAGCGAGTCTCTCTACCAATGAGGGAGTACACGTGGCTTCTAAAGATCCGAAAAGGATAAGGTAAACATCTGAAAAGGATAAGGCTTCACCCACGAAAAAAAAAAAAAAAAAAAAAAGGAAAAAGAAAAAGGAACCGGTATACCTTCTCTCGGCCTTTTGGCTAAAAATAGATCGAGTGCACTGTATCTGTTCTAAATCTTCTGATCAGTTTAATATCTCATCCGTGGTCCATCATCCCAAATTACGGAAAAAAAAAACAAAAAAAAACGAAGGGCCCAGACGTGGCTCTCATGCACACGTCAAGGGATGGACATGTGGCACACTTAAGCTTTTTTCTTCTTTTTTTTTCTTTGGAATTGTAAGCTTTTTTTGTGCAGGAATGAACAAGTGGCCCAAGCTGTGGTTGTGGCTATGGGCGTCGCTCCACTACTCACCAAATGTGCAAAATGAGAATGAATCTTCCGCTAGAACATGGGAAGATACAGCGCCATATTTTTTTTGTATTTTGTGCATGGGATGGGTAGTGGAGCGAGGTCCTATGGTTGGAATTCTTGCACTACCGTGTTCAACGACTGGTCATTATGCTTGTATCTGGCCTCACAGTTGGACTAAGAACATACACCGATAATGGCCGTCGGATGTCGTGTAAGA